TATTTTTTTTTCTGAAATTGTACTTTATTATTTTCAAATAGATGTTGTATATAAATAAAACAAAACTCACAATGGACTTACTGTAACATATGTAATATTACATTTTTTTCACCTTCAAACTCTTTCAAAATTGTTTAACAAAGTAATAACAAATAATTGTGTTTGATGGCTGAGAGCATCAAACACATTTTAGTGACAGAGGCTCTACAGCAAAACCTTGACTGGTCTTCAGTTTTACATCTCTCCAAACTACTAAATACCTAATTTTTCAAAAGTATAACGCTTATGAATTTAGAAAATACAGTTTAAATGTAATTCTTTCAAAAAATGGTATACTTATTTCTTACTAATTAATAGTAAATAAAAAGTTATATACTTACAGTGTACAAAGTAGACTTGAAGTAGTTCCACTTTAGCATGTAACTGTGCAATTGATTCACCTCAAAGTGTGATTTTCTACAATTTATTTACAACTAAAATATATTAAATACAAAATGTATATACAACTGTATATGTACAAAATGAAAATATACATAGAGCTGAATATGAATTTTGTACCTGTATAGCAGCATCTGTTTTTATGTATTTCAGAAATGATTTCCCCTTGGATTTTGTTCTACATTTACATCAACTTTCATAAAATGTGTATCCTCTTGATCAGGAGGACTCTGTCATACCCTGAACATGTGTAACACATAAAGCATCACAACATGTCTGACTGCTCTGCCGTTTCTTTTAGCCAAGTAAAACCTGAGTCGTTTTTGCTCTTAGGGTTTTTTGTGAACTGGAAAAGCAAGATAAAATACAACATGAAAACTGTTTCATTGTGATGGTGGTCCCGCAAGCACAAAATGCAGAAATAGAGAAATCAATACTTTAACCAACCAAAACGTTGTCAGAAGGTAAACAGCCAAGAAAAACAAATACCTTGAATCCCCCCCCCCAGCTTCCTCACTGATAATTCCTACAAATTCAGATATGAGGGAAATTGGATTCTTCCCATTTTTAACGATGTCGATGAGTTCAATTGCTGCTGAGTTTATGGTAATCTTTGCCTGCAGGAAGTTTTTTAACAGAACATGTTTATGTATCAGACTATTAATTTGGGCTGTAAAATAAGCCTGGACTTTATCCTTGCTGCCTTTTGTTGTAATAATGCTGTTAGGAAGCCTTACAGGCAGATAAACATCATGAAGATCTCTTACATTAATTAAGCTCCTAGTTGCCGGTTGAACCAGGAGTTCCACATTTGAGTGGGTTGACATTTCTGAGGAAAAAATACAAAAAAACAAACACAACAAATCTCTATTTTTCTAGCCCCAGGTAGTGCAACAAACATCCATATTGCATTTTTAATAGAAGCGAATAGGGCCATGAATAATTTCTACTCTCTAAGATGAATATTTGTTGCTTGCAGAGGCAAGATCCAAATTGCACTGTGTCAAACTGGGTTTGTAAATGATTTTAACATCTAAAATAGCACTATTAGTTTTACAAGCTGCAGATGGTGATTGTCACATTCCATCCTCAAGAAGTCAGTTAACTGCACTCTCAATGTGTGTCTTTTGCTGCTACTCTGAAGTTAAACACACTTTTTATTCCCTGAATGTAACAAAAAAAAAAAAACATTGAACTGACCATGCACATGCACTGACAAAGCTTTTGTCAGACTGGCTCCAATGAAAGATGTGCACCTGTGATTGAAATCTGTGTCTTCCTCCACTAGCAATGCCACCCAGAGAGTCAATTTTGCAGCAATTCACTTGGTTATGAACATGCACTGACAAACATTTTGTATTTTCAGTGAAACTGCAGTATCAGTGAGAGTGGCTTAAAACGTCATGTAGGATTGATGTGAATGCAACAGTCAAACTTAGTGAAGTCCTCCTCTCTGAATCATTAGAAATTTGTGCAAAACTCAGCATTCTGCTGAATGTTGAAAAAAAAAAAATAAAAACAACACAATTTTGCATTTAAAATCCCAATGAGAATATGTTTGTTGATGCAATGAGTCATTAAAAATCATGGTATGATGAATATAAACAAGTGACAAGAATTCATAATTCAGTCATGGAGCCAGATCTCATCATCTATCAGCCAATCAGAGGAGACGTTGGCATTTTATTCAGGCAATGGAGCAACATGTCCTGCCTACTTGGGAGCAGCTACATATGCAGCTTTATGGGGAAATTGCAGTGGGTGATTTTACAGAAGAGTTATAGATTCAACACTTTCACATGACAAACTCAATACACTGACACACTGTGATGAAGTGAGCAACGCTGTGAGGGCTCTGGTGGAGCTCCAAGGAGGACAGTGTCTACAAATAAGAGTGTTGCTGCTGTTTACAAACTGGTGTGATGTGAAAAAAGTGTTTTGTATTGCAACCTCAATAACCACATCATCTAAGCACAAAAACCTTTTATTGAAAAATGTGAGATTTTTTGAAATTGGCGCATTTCCACCGAACAAATTTATTTTCAGAATTCCAATTTGAGCAGTGCTCACTTTGGAAACAAACTCAGTTAGCGTTGGACATCACTTCACATAAGACGTACGCCGCAACATTTCCATTAATCTAGAAATGGCAGCACAAACTGAAAACAATCCAATTGGTCAATGAAACGTGAAGACAGTAGACGCTTTAGGTTACACGTACCTCTGTACTCTCTGCTTTGGTCTGTTCAAAGGTGAATTCCACTGTAGGAACAGCCAGCTCATTGGCAAAGAAACTCACATCTCCAGGCAGCTGAAAGGAACTCACGTTGGGCCCAGGACAGTTTCCTCCACGGATGCAACTCAGCAACTGTCTCTAGAAGTGTGAGAAAAAACACTGGAGAATCAACTTGATGGGGAAAATAAAACAGCTCCATGAAAGAAACCATAACGTGCAACAGTTATTTGTCCTGGATTCTTGACTGAACTGTGACAATAAAGTAATAAAGCAAATATTTTTTTAGACTGGACTTGGAGAGTGGGTTGTTTCTTTGCCATCTCTGGCAACAACAAACTGATAAAAATCCTCACTGACTGCTGTCAGTACCTACAGCTGACAGGAGATACAACAAAACACTACAGAGCCTACAGATCACACAGGAGGCTTTTAGTACATAGAATACATAAAATAAAGAAAAGGTCAGCAGAGCTAGACTGGATTCTTTCTTTTCAAGTTTTGTTGTCCAATTAGAAATGCATCACACAAAAGCAGCATTTTGCACATTCTGACACTTCTGCAGAAAAACACAGATTAGCCTGACAGAAGTTCCTCTGTCAGGGTATTCAGTGTTTCAGTTATCTTGGAACAAAATGAAGAAAAAAAAAAAAAAAAAAACTAATAACTGGTAAAGAAATGTAGCATTGTGATTAATAAGTGAGTGCTTCAGAAGCTTGTCCAAATGTTATTCCATGTCTGCCACTGAAGTTGTGGCATTGATTACAACAATGGTCTTTAAGTTTGAAACATTTTACAATCGTAGAACTTTTTTATAAGGTACTTTTTGCAACTTAATTGTATTTGTTAAAAAAAAATAAAGGGACTGACTTACCGGATCTTAAATGAGAATTTGTTCTCAATCAGTTTAATTAAATGTTAAATAAATAAAATAAAATATATTTTTTTAAACCACTGCAATAGAAGTGGTTTCATTTATTATTTCTATCTAATGACCTGGATCCACTGCAGTCTAATTTTACTCCCATAGCAGTACCTAACTGCATCTTTCGTTCAACAAAACCTTTGCATGATTCCACTAAAATTACAAATTAAAATTCTAACATATGCTTCTAACATTTGTTTTTTTTTGTTGTTTTTTTTTATTTTTATAAATTGGTCTCCATGATGTCATTGACATGAGATATTAAGAAAGAAATCAGCAAAAAACTGGAAATAAGCCTCAAGACCTGCTGTGTCAATGTCAGAATTGCAAAGATCAGATCACAGAACTTTTTGACATGTACAAGAGAATCTGTAGCAGCCTGTCTGAACTGCCTGACCAAACTGCATAAGCAGGGGTCAAATTAGACTGAAGTTGATGTGAATGGAGAATATTTTTCCCTAAAGACGCCTGTCTTCCTGTGCCATTGAAAGAGAGTAGAAACAATAGGTGAATGGGTAAAATGGGTATATATTCTTGAGGACTGGTTTGTACGAAGTGAAAGTAAAATAGAATGATTGGCTTAAACAAAATGGTCGCCAGCAAAATGCTATAATCGTGCAATGAAATATGTAGGGAAAGGTTTCCACCAAAGTTAACCGACAGTACAACCATATCAAACGAGAAGACTGAAGCTGTGTTTCTGATGGCCATAAAATTCAGCAAATTGTAATTGCCAAAATAAATTTGCATAATGGAAACATGTCAATTTCCAAAAGAACTCACGTTTTGCTATAAAAAGTTTTAGCACCAGGATGAGGTGTTTTAAGGCTGTAGTGAAATTAGGGTGTTTTGCAAAACTGCAATGTAAACACTTGTTTTCACGAGTCACATGATGAGCAACATGATGTTACTATTGGCAGAAAAGATTAAGAAGATGACAGGAAGTGGTCGGAGGATGGCAGCAAGGCATGTTTTTAATGACTTATACCTGAACAAACTAACTACATGTAATTTGAATGGTCTCTCATTTAATGCAAACACCACAATTGCAAAATTGTGTTTTATTTTTTTTATTTTTATTTTTTTTACATTAGTTGAATGTCTACAAAGTTTTGTGCACATTTGTAATGGAAACGCAGCTTGATATTTGAATCCCAGCATTCAAACACCTAATGTGATTTAAAAACTGATCATCTTTCTTGGATGCTTAAGATGCGCAATCGGAATAATCTCAAGAATTATTCCACATATTTATTCCATCATTGCGCTGAATCTCCCCATTATGTCAAAAGCTTAAACAAAACCTTCTTGCCTTTAACAAGACGTTCCAAATTGTGTGAAGACTCAGTGCTAATCGGAATTTTTAACCACAAGTCTAAATCTAGCTAACAGGAAGCAGTGCGTGGAGAATGTGGGATGTGGTGAGGGTAGTGTTGTGGCTAATTGCTGACTCCAAGCTTTTGTCACAGCAGCACTAACATGCAGCTTGTCAGCAGTACTGGATGCTTTCCGCTGTTGTTCTGTAATTGAAAGAGCAACACAGCTGCTGGAACAGAAATTGTTCAGACAACAGTGGGTAGCGGAAGCAAACAGACTGCAACAGTCAATCAACTGAAGGCTTATCTCTACTGTCCACGTCCTCTGAGCCCACCGCATGTCACAATGTCCTTTTGGCCCATTGCATTTAATTAGAGTTTTCTTTTATCAAGGTTTGTCAAAGGGGAGAGAGCTCTGGTGTCCAATCATTGTCGCCACGGTCACTGACACATTGTCAGCCTGTTGTAGTTTATCACTCCTAAAGGCTGCTGCTCTCTGGACATGAACAGCTGTGTTGACAGGCTCCCAGTCGAACAGAATGAGGGGCAGTAAGTGATACCTGGAACCTCAGCACAGAGTGACATTTCTCTTTAATCCCAAACTTTTCCAATTAATCCCTCAACAAGACTGCAAGGCTGAAGAGGAATTAGTGAGGGGGATTTCAAGCTCTTTGTGGAAGAGTGGAGTGTAGATATGGATGCTCTGGTAGTTTATGTCTTTAGTTTCAATAGAACTGATAAGGAATCTAAGCAAATCACTGAACAATTAAAAACTGTCAAGATTCCCAATGCACCATTAGCCATTTCAGTTTATATAGGAAACATTGTACAGGGCATCCATAAAACATTTCACATTTTATGTTACAGCCTTTTTACAAATTGTATTAATCTCTTTCCTAAGAAAAATCTACACACAAATACCCCATTGTGACAATGTGGACATTTCTAGGAAATTGACACCCCCAAAATCAATTCAATATATCTCAGAACTGCAAGTTATATTTGATTGGTTCTGGTATCAACATAAAGGTAACAGTCCAGAGAATAGACCAGAGGTCTAAACATGAACAGTCCTATCGGTGAGAGCAAATATGGAAAAATGGGGATAGTTTTTTTTTTTTTTTTCCATGACATTTTGTGATGTATAGAACAGACTCTGACTATTTACTGTAGCAAATTTGATTTAAGCATTGACATTTTGGAAAGGTATTGGTTGAAATAAGTCCAGCCTGATTAAATGCTCTAACTAACCGAAAAGCTTCTAATGTCACACAAACACACTCAGTCACACTGTAAAAACCGTCCTCAATGAAAAAGATCATGGAACGTGCCTTACTGTCAGATTTGATAAGCAAACCTCTTTCATGCCGTAAAAAAACCACATCTCCAAAGATAGGCAGTTCACCATGACACAAACACGACTGCAAATGCAAACTTTGATTTAGAGCAGAAAAAGTTTTTTTGTGTGTGTGTGTGTTGGCCTAGTAGTAGATCTTGAGCAATGTCCAAAATAAATCGCAGCACTCAGGATGATTGAGAATCTGTAGTATGACTGTAAATTTGCCGAGCACCAGTGGAATCCATTCAGCTTGAAGGAGATGAAACTGTTCTGTCTTTAGAATTGGGCGAATTCCCAGTGGGAAGATGTTTCCAGCTTACAGAGACAGACCCAGGAGAGACGAATCCTTTAGCACACTCAAATTTTCTGTCTTTTGTCATATTTGTTCCACAATGACAAATGTTTTACGCTTTCAAATATGTAGATTTTGTGTTGAGCACGTTTTCAAGGTTTGCTCTACTTCCTGCCACCAGGACTACAAGGCCATTTTCAAAAGACTGTGCTCGTTAAAGGGGCAGTATTGTGTACCTTCCAGGCACATTGCATCATTTTATAGCACAACCAAGTACCTATGTTACCATTAGCTGCTAAATGCATCAAATATGACTGAAAAGAAGCATGGCTTTAAATTGGGTCTCTTTAAAAACTCCCGGTCTTTCTGAAACGTTTTTACCAGCATTTCACTGAGAAGTGACTCGTCTAATAACCTCAGCTGACTCACAGTCCCACCAGGTGTTTGCTAATTGCTGCTGGCTAGTTTGAAGGAGCTGAGAAGGGATTTTGCAGGGGACCGTGGTCTGTGTGAAAGAAGCTTGGAAGCTGCAGCTCAGAGGAGGAGCTGCACCTCGAAGGCGTTGCTAGGTTCATGCAGACATTTTGCTCAACTGAATGGTCGCCATGGAGATTAAAGATTCTCCCTAATGTGCATGAAAGAATCAAAGCAACACTCCAGGTGTGTTTTTCATGATGGAATAACATTTTTACATGATGTAAAGCTCAAAGAAGTAAATTACTGTAACTGAAATGAATGAATGAATGAATGAATGAATGAATGAATGAATATCTACTTAACATTAAATAATTGGGAGCTGTTGTGTTCCCATTATTTAATGGCGACTAGCAGCACTAAATCTTCAGTCAAACTCCATCAGCTCTGAGTAAAGCTCCTGTCCCTGCAGAAGAACAGGTTCCTTACAGTATCAAACCACAACGACTTGGAACATTTATTATTAAAGCTTTCTTCTTGCCTCGATCAGGTTATTCTGAATAATCATTCCATTAAAACTGAAACTATTGATGTGGCACCCAGGATTATTGAGCCATTCAAAGTGACGACAGTAACATTAACATGTCTTTCAAAATTAATCTTTCCGTATGATTAAACCAAATCAGCACAAAATTAATTTCATTTGCTGTGTTTTTGTAAACTGAATGAGAGACCGTATTTTACAGAAGAAGCATATTTCACAGAAACATGTACCTATTGTTCACAGCAGTTGTTTGGTTTCTAACGAGACACCAACAATCACTCTCTCAAAGCCATCATGTCATGAGGCTCTGC